CGAATCCGGGAGCTCACAGCCAACTTTAATTTTTCCTGATGAAGCTTCTGGTGCCGCTGTGTTTTCGCTTCCAGAGCGCCGGTCCCCTCCCTCTGTCTTCAGCCTCTGCCCAGAACTCGCACCTGTGCCGGAGCCCCATTCCTCCCTCCCACACTCGCCATCTCCAGGGCCGTTACATCTGTGCAGGGCTGGTTTGTTCTGACTTTTTGTTTCTTTGTCTGTTTGCTTGGTGCTGGTTTACCTGTTTTCTGGGGGAAAAAGCCATATCGCGCTAAAATTCTATAGAGATAGATACTGTCCTAAGTGTCAAGTCCTGACTGGGCTGGGTTTGCTGTCTTGGTGTCCCATTTGCTTGAAATGGCCCCTGTTCTCCTCCACCGAGGTGGTTTCCTGCTCAGCCTCGGGAAACCTAGCCGGAAGGCTGAGGTCCCATGGTCGGCGCTGAGGTGTCTGGCCTGAGGTCAATGGTGCAAGGAGCCGCCACCGGGCACGCCTGCTTGGAGTACTGGGCTGTGTTTAATCAGGGGCTGCAGGCCCCTGGGTTTCTTTCTTCTTTCTTCTTTTCTTCCTTGGCCAAGAGAAGGCATACAGACATGGACAAGCAGGTTGGCTAAAGGGCTTGACTTTGGCTGATTGAAATAGTGAGAGAGTCAGAAAGATTAATTTTTCCTTCCTCTGTAAGTTACCCCAGCTTTAAATGAAAAAAGGAATGAGCAAGAGAAGGAAACTTCTCTCCAGTTTGTGTAAGGTCTTGCATTGCCTGACTAAAATGTTTCATTTACCTCTGAATTTCCATATCCTTCTGGCTGTTGATAAATAATGCAGTTTTGTTTATACATGTGGAATTAGTGGATTTTTTGTCATTAAAATTGTTACCGCTGGTAACACGCGAAAAGCACACCACAATTCTCCCTATCTTGCAGAGATGGATTTTTTTTTAATTCACTTTTTCTGTTTTGGGGGGCTTTCTGAAATTCATGGAAGCCTAGGATGGCTGGGGTGAGCGGAAAAACGAGAGAAGGGAGACATTGTTTGGATTTCCTTTATACTGTGAAGTTACGTGCATAAAAGGGTCAAACCTGTAGGTGCAGAAAAAGAAAAAACTATAAATACAAATCTGTATAAATGTCTATTATTATGAAAAATTGCCAATCTTGTTTTAAGCAAATGCATTCTATCATTATTATAAAATGTTAGTTCTAGCTTTATTTACTTCTAATCTTAAATCAGAATAAATTAATATTGTATTGCTGCTGTGCGTGGAAAAAAAAGACGATGTTTATGTTCTTATAGAATAAAAGCTGTGGAATGAAGCTTTTTAATTTTACCTTTTTTTGACTTCTTATCTTCACCTTCCACTTTATCCCGTCCACCACTTTTACAACAGGAGGACTAGCCTGACCCCCTGCAATTACTTTAGGCATCTATTTAAATATTACCTAGACGGTCGTAATTTGTCTGGGCCCTATAGCCCTGGTGCCGTAAGGTTTGTCGGCTTTTGTTCAGTTTTATGACTTGCTAGTATATCTGGATTGTGGCTGTCTTGGACCAGTGGTTTCAGTTGAGAGGGGAGGTGCATAGACAGAGGAAGCTAAACAGGATTTCTTTCGGGAGCCGGAGAGGCTCGCAGAGGCCAGTTATTTTGCGGATGCCGGAGTCCCAGATGACCCTAAGTCTAAATCCGGGGAACAGGCCTTGGTCACAGTGCATCACTGGCGTCTGCCGCAGTGGTTAGGTGGACCCGGGCCGGGCTGCCCAGGGCTGCCCCCTCCCCCAGCACGGCCGGCCTCCCCCACCTGGCGGCCCTCTGCGGGGCCACGCGTTTCCTGCTCGCCGGAGGTGGGGAGGGGGGGCACAGGGGGAGGGGGCGCGGGAGCGCGGGAGCGCGCGCCTGGGCGGGCGGGCGGCTTGGAGGAAGAGAGGGGGAGAGCGAGCGGCTGCGGGAAGCGAGCGGGGGAGGCCGCGGCCAGACAGAGAACCGGGCTCCGTGCTATCCCTGGCGCTTTCGAGTCGCCCAAGGCTGCCGCCACTCGGCGCTGGTTTGCTAAACTGCAAGATTTGGGAAACCAGCACGCACACAGCTCGTTCTCTTCTCGCTCCTCCCCTCCTTCCCTTTACCTCTCTCCTTTGCCTTCCCGTCCTCCCTCCCTCCAGCTCTCCAACCCCCCTTTCCAGCTTTACCTTACTGGGGATCGTGACTTCTGTGACGGGTTTGCGGCGGCCTGGGGCACTCGGTGGCAGCGGCGGGCGCAGGTGGCCAGGGGCTGGGCCGGGCACGATCGCAGGGTTCACTACTTGGCGGCGGCAGTGGCGGCAGCAGTGGCGGCGGCAGCGGGCGAGGCAGCTCCTCGCGGGCAACACCAGAACTGGTCGGTGATTTAGGTAGTTTCCTGTTGTTGGGATCCACCTTTCTCTCGACAGCACGACACTGCCTTCATTACTTCAGTTGAAATCGTCTCCAGGTACCTGTACGCGCGGGGGCCGGCCAGGCGGGGCATCAAGGCTCTAGTTGTGCCAGGCCTGCGGTGTCAACCTCGGCTTACCCTGCACAGGAGCCTCGTTTCTTTCTCTGCGCTGTGCCGGCCAGCCTCACCCTTCTCCCCCCGCACCTGGCCCGGGGCAGGTATGGTCAGGTTAGCTGCTCCTTCTGGGACGCCGGGGGCGTGGTAAGAATTCTGGGCCCCGGGCCATTCAAGGTCAGGGGCGCTCCCTTGCATCCTGAGCTTTCTCTACCATAGGCCTGCGGTTGTCCAGCACCCCGCCATTCTTTTTGCAAGGCTGGAACACATTCACACACTGCAATCCGGGGTGTTAGCTCAGGAAAGATCCCTTTGCCAGTAGACATCCAGGCCGAGAAAGGAGAGAGTGGATGGACAGGGGCTGGGATCCTGGCCTTGTCACTTACCCTTCTGTCTGCTAGCCCCCTCTGCTCCCATGAGTCGCTGCTGCCTCTCTCTTCTTTTTTAAAAAAATTATTTTCTTCCCTCCTTTTTTCTTCTTTTATCCTTTCTTTTTTCCTTCTCTTTGCTTTTTTTTTCTTCCTTTTATTTCTTTCAACTATCTCTCTGTCCGATTCTCTTTCTATTTCACCGCTTCCTCTTCTTTACAAATCATTCTTTGGGAGGGAAAAGGAATGCTTTTGGGGGAACCTGGATGTCTCATTTTTCTCTGTGTGGCTAAGTAAAGGTAGGAATCTGCCGAGGTGCGTGGGGGCTGTCCAGGGCCGTGGGTTTTGGCCGGGTGTGCCTCTGCACATACAAGGCCTCGGTTACGATCACGACCGGATGGCGGCGGCCTTGCGTTCCTCTCCGCTGGTCGCTAACGGCTGCCTGAAGGGGCACCCGCGGCGTCTTTGTGTGCCCACACCGAAGGCAGGGAGGCCTTCACCAGCCTCACTGGTCTGGAGGCTAAGAGCCAGGGTGAGGCCCAGTCAGGCTGGATTAAGCCTGGCCCACTCAGGTCGCTCCTCGGGAAGTTCCTTGTTGACCCTTCCATGCCTGCTGGTTCTAATTCGGGCTTTGACCGCGAGGAGGAAACCTCGCTAGCTTGAGCAAGCTTGACTGCTTGCTCGCCAGTGGCACCATTCAGAATATGTTAGATGTGACCCCCTTGTAAAGGAAGGTGCTGGGCACTGGAAAGTGCCAGCATGTTTCAAATAAGTGAAATTCAAGAACCACTAGGTTACAAACTTGAGTCCGTGTTCTAAGTTGTAGTGTACAGACGGATGGAAGCCAGCCTGAACATCGTCAGTAATGAAAACTGAAAACAAACCAATCTTCCCTCCTGGCAAAACACACACACACACACACACACACACACCCCTTCAGACTCATGACCACAGACATATACTTCCCTTCCCAGCTCAGGCTGGGGCCCAGGAATTGTTTTCAATGCTCAGCCCAGCACCGCCAACCTGTTATCTGAGTGGCCGGGCACACCCGGTTCCTTTCAACTCCTCTTTGCCATTTTCCGGACCAGGGTATCAGATTTGTTTCCGAGATCAAGGTTTTAGGTAGACTCTCAGTTGAGAAGGAGCAGTTTGTACTGAACCCATTTATTATTTCTTTATGTATATGCAATCACTTTCATTTCCAAAACAAAAACAGACACAAAAGTCTAAATATTCTAGCCCCAAACCTCTGTGCTCATAAAAGACAATATTTGGTTTTACGAATCCTCTTCCCCTTCTAGGCACCAGTAAGCATCTGCTTAGCACTCAACGCCTGCTACTTATTTAGTAATTGTCCTATATAGGTACTGAAGCTATTTAAAGGGACAGTCTTTCTACTTTAAAAAATTAATAGTAATCCCGTCCTCTCCGGGTATGAAAAAAAAGTGGAAAAGGCAGCCAGGCGTGCTCTGCTATTTACAGACTATTACAATTAGGAGCGAAGTTTTCCTCCAGGGTTAATTTTTAAAATGAAAAGCTCAGAGTTCCGGACTGCTGCCGGATATTTAGGACACCTTGGGTTCTGTGGGGGTGGAGATGACGCGGAGGAATTTGCAGGGAAAGGAAAATATTAAGGGGGGAGGGGGCTGAGGCGGCCGAGACAGGCCACGTCGGAGTTCATTGTTTAGGCCACTTTCCTCTTCCAGGCGCGCGGGCGGAGGAAGGGGCACCCGCTCGGTATCCGCGTGGCTTCGCAGCCTCGCTCCGCCGTACAGCCTAGCATTTGGGGTCCCTGCCTCCTGGGATAGGAATGTGTCAGGTTGCTTTTTTATTTTTGGGTGAGGGCGGTGTATGGGGAAGGGATTACGTGAACTGTTGGTGAGAAAGAAAAAGAGATGGAGGCGCTTGAGGCTGCCGGCCTCGCCGCAGGGAAGTAGACTAATGAGAAACACACTTCTGGAGGCACAGTATTTACACGTGAATTTAATTACCCCGTTTCTAGGAGTCGCTGCTTTCTGTTCTGAGTTGGGATGTTTTTTCCCCCAATTAACAAATGTGACTGGGGCCTTTTCATTTACTCTCGCCTCCAAAGACTAAGGGGTGAGAAATAACCTTCCCATTTGGCCAGGGAAAAGGATGGGATTAAAGTCAATGCCCTGTGCCCCTCCCCGTTTTAATTTCTAGCCCTGGACTTGAGCTGCAGCCGCCACGATTTGGGCCTTGTAATTCTCTGTGGAGTAGCTCGGTTCTGCGGATAACCAAAGCTGCGGTGGCCAGAAAGGAAGGATCCCAGAGTCCAGGCAGGATCGGCCAGTCCAGTGCTGGCATCGTAGCCACTGGAGCTATGAACTCTCTTACGCTGTTTTTTTTTTTTTTAAGCAAGCCGAACTTGCTTCTCATTGATACTGCCTATCCGTTTCCTCAGCTTGGGTTGGGGTGCAGGATGAGGCACCATTAGGGCCTTTGAGGATAGAGCACAAGTCCAGGTCGCTAGCCACCTCCGCCAAGGGACTGTGAATCAAAGCTGATCAAACTCATTGAGCGCGCGTGTGGCAGAGTCGTGGGCTAGGATCGAGCGCATGGCACCACCAGACCTCAGAACCCTTCCCCTTGGGGGCATCCTGCGCCTTCCTCCCTGCCAGCTTCTCCTTGGGGCCCTCTCTTGAGGAACAAGAGCGAACTTGGGGGCAGTCTGTGCGCCCGGTTCTCCAGCAGGCAGGCTCCGGGGGCCCACATCAGGACCTGTGCCCTCGTGGCTAGTCTGCCAGGCGCGTTCTGGCAGGGGCGTTGGCTATTCGGTTTGGGGTGATACTGCGTTGAATTTGACTCTTCAAGGCCGGGCAGGGGGAAACTCGCATCTCCGAGGGCTGCAGGGATTATTTACAGGGAGCTCACGAACCAAACACAACAGTCTAATTTAACCTTTCCAAGTCCTCGTAAATTTTTACAGCTGGGAACCACAGCAAGGCAAACGAATCTGTTGGTCGTTCCCGACTTCCCACCAGCCTGTGTGGCTTCTGAAACAATAACTCCTTATGAAATATCATAAATATAGATTTAAATACAGTAGAGCGAGAATGCGATTTGGCTGCTTTTTTATGGCTTCAATTATTGTCTAATTTTATGTGAGGGGCTCCTCTGGCCACACTCGCATGCAGGACCCGAGCCTTCCTGATGGCGTGATTAATTGTGATATAAAATAGTCCGCTTTAGAAGTGTGTGTGTCTGCTGGGGGCTGGGGGGACAGGGGAGAGCACAGAGGCAAGGCCAGATTTGATCTTTTAATCTTCGTTGGCCACAATTAAAACAAACCCGAACGTGGAGCGGCGCGATCCCTTTGCATAAAAACATATGGCTTTTGCTATAAAAATTATGACTGCAAAACACCGGGCCATTAATAGCGTGCGGAGTGATTTACGCGTTATTGTTCAGCGGGAGGGCACGTGACGCGCGTGGCCAATGGGGGCGCGGGCGCCGGCAACTTATTAGGTGACTGTACTTCCCCCCCTGGTGCCACCAAGTTGTTACATGAAATCTGCAGTTTCATAATTTCCGCGGGTCGGGCCGGGCCGGCCAGGCGCGGGGTACGGCAATGGCCACCACCGGGGCCCTGGGCAACTACTATGTGGACTCGTTCCTGCTGGGCGCTGACGCCGCCGACGAGCTGAGCGCGGGCCGCTACGCGCCGGGGGCGCTGGGCCAGCCCCCACGGCAGGCACCCACGCTGCCGGAGCACCCCGACTTCAGCCCTTGCAGCTTCCAGTCCAAGGCGGCGGTGTTCGGTGCCTCGTGGAACCCGGTGCACGCGGCGGGCGCCAACGCCGTGCCCGCTGCAGTGTACCACCACCATCACCACCACCCCTACGTGCACCCCCAGGCGCCCGTGGCGGCGGCGGCGCCGGACGGCAGGTACATGCGCTCCTGGCTGGAGCCCACGCCCGGTGCGCTCTCCTTCGCGGGCTTGCCCTCCAGCCGGCCTTATGGCATTAAACCTGAACCGCTGTCGGCCAGAAGGGGTGACTGTCCCACGCTTGACACTCACACTTTGTCCCTGACTGACTATGCTTGTGGTTCTCCTCCAGTTGATAGAGAAAAACAACCCAGCGAAGGCGCCTTCTCCGAAAACAATGCTGAGAATGAGAGCGGCGGAGACAAGCCCCCCATCGATCCCAGTAAGTGTCTCCTCCCTCCATACCAGCCGCTGCCTCCACGCCGGCCACCAGGATCCGCCGGCCCACCAGCTTTCTCTCAAGCCTGCCTTCGTCCTCGCTGGGAGCCCCTGAGCTGGCATCTGGAGCCAAAAGTTGGTGTTTGGGACACCGCAGACCGGGCCCCAAGTCCAGACTACTGTGGCGAGCAGGCCTGCGGGGCTGGGGGAAGGGGAGGAGGCTGCTGCAGCAAGAGGGGGGCGGGGCGGGCTCTACCGGCCGAGCCAAGACCGGCCGCCCCCTCTCTGTGGCTACCCAGGCCCGGGACAGAGATACTTTGGGCCATTCTTCCAACGCTGCACGGCGAAGAGAGTCTTTTGTGCGGCTAGATTGTTCGCGGCAGAGGGGAACCTGACCCGGGACGCTTGGGGAGATCGCCGATTCCCACCACTCCTTGCCTCCGGCCGGTGGCGACGTAAATCCTGCCCAAGATGAGGCTGCGGGCGATCAAGCTTGAGGGCTCTTTACCAGATTATTCAAATAAACTGGAGATGTGATCAAAGGCCTTGGGGCGCCCAGTCGGCCTGCATAGCTCTCACCGCCTTCCAGGAAGGTCAAATAAGGAGTGGGGACAGGAGCAGGAAAGCAGAGAGAGGGACGACACAGTCAGAGGGAGAAAATATTAATCTTGCTGCAGGAACACAGGGCAGCCTCTTTCCTTCTGTGTGGTAAAAAGGATGTTTCCAGATTTCACTCTTTTCACAAAGTGCAGAGTGGGAGGAAGGAGAGGAGGGGGACAGGAGGACAGAGGAGGAAAAAGAAGGGTAGTGGAGGGGAGGGAGAGCCGAGGGTTTACTGCGTGCAATTGTAAGTGACCGTCCGTGCGTCTGTCTGCCAGGGTTCCATTGTGTCCGAGGCTGGGCTGCCTTCCCTTAACCAATTCAGCGGCTTCCTGCACTTCGGCGGGTCCAGAGACCCCAGGAGGCTCCCTCGCACCCAGCCAAGGGGACTTCTATTTCTTCTAACCCTGGTTGTCTCTCTCCCCCGCAGATAACCCGGCGGCCAACTGGCTTCACGCGCGCTCTACGCGGAAGAAGCGCTGTCCTTATACCAAACACCAGACGCTGGAACTGGAGAAAGAGTTTCTGTTCAACATGTACCTCACCAGGGACCGCAGGTACGAGGTGGCCCGACTGCTCAACCTCACCGAGAGACAGGTCAAGATCTGGTTCCAGAACCGCAGGATGAAAATGAAGAAAATCAACAAGGACAGAGCAAAAGACGAGTGACGCGAATCGGGTTCATTCAGAAAAGAGCAAGCTAGAGAGAAGGAGAAAGGACTGTCTGTCCTCTTCTCCCTCCTCTCCCCCAACCCCAGCCTCCCCCACCCCAGCCTCCACCACCCGCACAAAGCGGCTCTAAACCCCAGGCCTCATCTCCCCCCTGGCAAACCCTGCTCAGGCTGGCTCCTTAGGCCTGCGGCTTTGATGGAGGAGGTATTGTAAGCTTTCCATTTTCTATAAGACAAAAAAAAAAAAAAAAAAAAAAAAAAGAGGGCATTAGCGCTGATGGCTATGCGTGCTAGCTTGTATATATTTAAAAAAAAATCTACCTGCTCCTGACGTAAAAACAAAAGGAAAAAAACTACCTTTTTATAATGCACAACTGTTGATGGCGGGCTGTATAGTTTTTAGTCTGTGTAGTTAATTTAATTTGCTGTTTGTGCGGCAGATCGCTCTGCCGAGATACTTGAACACTGTGTTTTATTGTGGTAATTATGTTTTGTGACTCAAACTTCTGTGCTGGGTGATGCACCCGTTGTGATTGTGGAAGCTAGAATTCAATTTGAACTCAGGTTGTTTATGAGGGGAAAAAACAGTTGCATAGAGTATAGCTCTGTAGTGGAATATGTCTTCTATATAACTAGGCTGTTAGCCTAAGACTGTAAACTATCTATAAGGATTCCCAGTGAAATAAAATTTGGAAAAAAAAGGAGAGAGGGGTTGTTTTTGGGATACATAGATTCATGGTTTCTCCACTTTTGAAATGCAGGGCATCTTAGGCTCTTCATGCGCTATAGTCCTGTCTTGTCCATTGTATATATAATTAAAGAAAAATTTCATAATCAGACAAGCTTGAATATTGTTTTTGCACCAGATGAACAAGGAGGAAATTCGGAGCTATACGTATGTGCAGAAGGTTACTACCTATGGTTTACACTTAATTTTAATTGGGGGAAAATAAATGCTTATTGTAATGGAGTTAATTTTATTGATAATAAATTATACACCATGAAACCACCATTGGGCTACTGTACATTTGTACCCTTGATGAATCTGGGGTTTCCATCGGGCTGAACATACACTGTATATTTTGCAATAGTTACCTCAAGGCCTACTGACCAAATTGTTGTGTTGAGATATTTAACTTTTTGCCAAATAAAATATATTGATTCTTTTCTAAGTTTTGCGAGTCTGTTCTTTGCACCTTCTTTTCCTTGGGCAGGGGAGCTTGGGTAGTCTCTGGGTGAGGGTGGAGGGTGGTCAAGGTGGGGTGGAAAAAGCCCCAATTTTGCGTCTGTTAGATTTTGGAAGCCGGGACCTGCTGCAGCCAGTCCGGGCGGGCCTAGCAACCCAGCCAGTCGCCTGGCGTTACCAGTAGCGGAGAAGGCTGGCAAAACCGAGGCGCAGCCAGGCTCCCGAGCCCTGGGTCTATTTGGGGCAGCCTCGGAGAAGCTGGGCTGGGGTCCCTGGTATCGCTGGCCAATGGCGGTGAAAAGGCCTTTTTTTTTTTTTTTAAATCGTGGTACTCTAAGAAATTTCCCAAGCCCAGGCCCATGGAGACGCCTAGGGCCTTTATGCAGCAGGGTGAGAGAGTGGGGAGCGATGGAACAGGAGGGCCCATCTCCTAAAGATGTTCTGCGCGGTGGCCAGCGCAGACGTCTCCGGGTTTCCAACCGATCGAAGGCCTATACCCCTGCACCCCGTGTCCTGCTAACCTGGCCGGGGACAATCTGCATCCTACCCCGCAAGCCCCTCCCGAGCACAAGTCCTGGCAGAGGCAGGGCTGAGGCAACCGACGCGCCCCGAAGCGCCATAAAAGAAAATGAGGGCTGTTACGGTTTATGGGGTGTAAAGGGTTGTGTGTGGGGGAGGCGGTGGATGGCCACAACTTCGGAGGCCAGAGCGCCTTCCAGATGTGACCAAAGGGTTTGGCCTCGCTTCCCCCCCACCCCTTTTCTTCTCTAGCCCTCCTCTCCCACCCTACCCCAACCCCCGACTTCTGCAAAGTCGACTGTTCTAACGCGTGGTGAAAAGGAAACTCGCGCGCGGGTGGAAGGGGCGTCCCCTCCCCACCCCCACCGCGCCGCCAGGTTGGGACGCCCTCTGTTGTTGCAGACAGAAGGAACTTCAAAGAATGGGCAGTAAGGGTGTGCCATAAAGGCCGGGTCTGCGAACTGTCTGGAATTCGGCCCTTAATGGGTTTACAACTGTCCAGCCCCACTTAGGGTATTCCACCAAAGCCCTTTCATTTGTTTGCTCTGTCTGCCGCCGATAAAGAGGCTGCGGAAACAGCCCTCTTTTATGGGCTTTGCCCCCCATCCGCAGTATAGATTCCGGGCCCCACGAGGACCCCCGGGAACCCGGTCCTCTCCTCGCCTTTGGGACTGGAACGCAGTGCGGACCCTGGCTGCAGCAGCCGAAGTTCAGGCAGGCGGGGGGGGGGGGGGGGGTGCTGCTGAGGCCGCAGTGCCAAGATATGACCAGCAGATGGCAGTGTGGCTCCACGGAAGAGGCGCTCTCGCCGCCATCTCCGGCCGCCGCGACCCTGGGAAGTTCCTAAGATGTCGACTTGACGCGAACCTCTCTGGAATGGGAGCCCCATATCTGAGTGAACAACAGTCGTATATTTTCCATGCTGCTCATGCCAAGCTGGAAGCCTCCCTGGGACACAAGCATGCGCCAAGGGCTTGCCTAACTCTCGCTGCTCGCTCCTCGAGGGCGCAGTGTTGCGGGGCTACAGCTCTTTGCGCGGATACTGCTCCGGGGTCACCATCCCCAACCCAGCACAGGCTTTGGGGCAGCGTGCAGGGATTCCCCCCAGCTCACCGGTGGACGGACAGACATGGAGACGAACGCTTACAGCACCCCCGGACCTGATGACCCCACAGAGGGTGTGTAGAGGGCGCACGCTGTGGCCATGGGCTCCGCCGCTCCAGAGGCCCCCCGAAACCTGCACCCTGATTCAGGGTCTCGTACAGCATCGGCGAGAAACAGCCAGGACCTCCGGGATTTGGCCGGTTTGATTACTTCACAGTAAAATTAGCGGGTGGAAATTGGGCGTAAAGCCATCCTTGGTGACTGTCTAGTGTAGATTGGCTGGGACTTGGCTGGGATGGGGAATCCCGGGAACAGACCAGGAACTGTTTGGTTATTCTAAAATAAATGTGATGTTTAAAATAAAAACTATAAGAATACCCTAGCTCCAGAATTGGCGCTCACGTCGTGGCCACCGTACTTGCCGGGCCACGGTACTTCCTTGGCATAGAGGTGCCTAGACTACTCCGGCGTCCCCCGCTGAGGAGGCCAGAAGCAAAGGGACCCAAGTCCATGCCCAGGCTATCCCCAAGCCTAGGTGAGGAACACACTCTGGAACCTCCGCAAACACAGTCCCGAGCCCGGGTGCGAGGATCGGCCACGAGTGTAGAATGGTTTCGGAGAGAAAACAGAAGAGCAAACAGAATCCTTCGAAACACCCCGGAGCCCTATGAACACGCCGCACGGTGCATTTATTTAGGTCGTAATAGTCTCCGCCAAGCTCACAAAATGTTTACGACCCGCATCTTCGCACTGAACACGCTGTAAAACTAGGGACTGGATTTTGGCTGACTTCTCTCCTGGATATTCTCTCTCTCTCTCCCCTCTACATACACATGTTGGTATCGCAGACACACATCTTCATTCTATTTCCGAACATAATGCACGGTACATCTGATTGTAAGAAGGGTTTTATAGTTTCCCGAGAGTCACCCGTGGCCGTGTATCATAAGCCGCAGATATAAATCTCAATTTATATAACTGAAATATAAGATCAGAGGGCGCAAATAGAAAGCTCGACTTCTCTAACTACAAATAAGTAAAGTCGCAGATCGGTGGCTACCTCTTTTCTCCACCGGTCACGAGGAGGCCTCCAGGTAGGTGCAGGCCGCCCAGGATCTCCGAGAACTCGAGGTCTGCCCGGGCCCCCGCCGGGCCTCCCTTGCCCTTGGCCGGTGGTGGCTGGCAGGCTGCTCTCGCTCTCGACTGCCTGCCAGAGGCTTTCCACGGCCGGCTTTCGCCCAGGCAAGACCCGGAGCCGGCCGGAGCTCATTTGCACTTGTTGGGATCGGGCTGGCCTCCGCGCCCAGGCCAGGCACCGCTCACCGGGTGGAGAACAGACCAGCAGCCTGCACGAGGAATCAGAGTGGAAATGGTTGGAGGAGCAAATCGCTAGCCACCCGAGTCTCCAGCAGGCGCCATTCGTTGCTGAGAGCTGGATTTACATTCGTAACTAGATTTAAATAGTGAGGACTATTTGATGACAAGAAACGGAGAAGCAGACTCTGCCAGTAGGTAGAAAGCTAGCTCCAGGAGAGCAGTGGAAAATATTTATATAACTGATTAGAAACTGGTCTACAAGTGTCTGCTCCAGGCAGACACTTGTCAAGGAGTATTTCTGTAAATATTGTCACACGTTAAGCACACATTTGTATCTTTTCAATCAAATAAGTAGGAACTCGGTGGCTCGAGAACGCACCATTAAATAGGCCTTATTGAAAGCCTGATTATTGGCTGGCCTTTTTCGTTTGAAAATCCGGCCAGAGAAGGGCAGGAAGGGAGAGAGACCAGAAACGAAACAGAGGTTCCAATGTCCCTGGGTATTGGCCCAGTTGATTAACTTGGGTCAAGAAGCGCCCAGACCTTGCGGGCACTATCTAGATCCTGCTTGGATGGAGCAAACGGGCAAAGCGTCCTGCCAGGACAGCTTGGACGCGCGCCAGTCCAAACCCAGGCAAGCGCTGAGCCTGTGGAGCAAGTGCGCTACCCTCTCCGGGTAGGGGAATCTTCCTAGGTTCCCCGAAATCGCTCCCCATTCAAACTGCCAGTTTCCTTGCTTATAAAGCTGGTTCCGTACTTTAAACGCCATAGCTCTCGGCCACTCTAGTCGCCTGAGTCTAGACAGACCACAGCGGCGGGGCCAGGTCTTTTTGCGCCTTGCTCTGTGTCACCCAGCAACAATTTATTGGTCTAAAGCCGTCTAATTCCGCTTCTTTGATCTCTTAGCCCTCTTTTTGTTTGCGTCGTCTTCCTTTAACTTTCTTGGGTTTTTATTTCCCTGCCAGATGACAATGTTCTTTGGAATTTTTCCTTCCCGTTTTACCCCCTCCATTTCCCATCTGAGAGTCGATATCATCCTGATCCACCACAAAGGGCATCCCGGATATTGCCCCTGATTAGGACCCCTACACCCCAAGGCGACAGCGCCCACCTGTCCCCCCTCCCTACCCAAGCCTGAGAGCCCTTTTCTAGGTAGGAACTGGGGCTCCCTTGCTTCCTGATTTGAACCATACTTCTGTCTTTTGTGCTCCCAGGACCCCCTAAGAGGGTGCAGTGAACAGGGGCAGCCCGGACCTTCTGAAAGTGATAAGGAGTGCTTTGTACACAAGGAGCCAAACTCTATAATTTAGAGAAGAATTTCCGGGGCAATTCCATTGTGAGTTTGGGTTTATGGTGTGCAATCGAGCTGGCAGTAAAAGGTGGCCCGGCTTCCAGCGTGGCCTGGGCAGTTTATGAGGCGTTTAGGGGAAGGGTTTGCCCAATCATCCTCCACTGAGCGTTGGGCAGCAGGGGCTTCAGCTGGTCCAACACTGCGGCAGGGTCTGAGGCCTGGGAAGGTAGGCGGCCCAGGTTGGGGTTCTGGATGGGAAAGAGGCTACTCTGCGCTCAGCTCTCTGAGCCAGTACTTGGAAAGGTAAAGCCGCTAGAGTTGGGTGGTCCTAGGGGAGGGATCCCCTATTTGTTTTTGTTTTCTCCAAAAGAAACACAGGTCCACAGTGGGCTGCAGTCCCCAGGCACCGGGATCCCCTCTCTCCTCTACAAATTGGCTACAGAGCGTCTATTGTTCCCAGGCACCCAGGCCCACAAGAGATCCAGGCAGGGATGACTAGGGTGAAGGCTACCAGAAACCTCAAGGCATAGGGGGGCGTTCTTGGAAGGTACAGGATCTGGGGTTCTTCCAGGCTGGGGGAGAGAGATCCAGCTGCCCATGAGCCAGAGAGAACCAAGGGTTGTGGGGAGGACAAAGGAATATCAAGCCATTTATTGGGCTGGCTAGAGGCCAGCCAGGTACCCAGGAGCGAATACACAGAGCCTGCAGGGCCCCGGGGAAGGGGGGCGGTGAGCAGAGAGACGAACCCCCGTGTTAATAAATCTGTTGGCAAATGAGGCTCATTAATAGATAAATATTTCACTGCTTCCTTTAGGGCGGATAAACAGTGCGCCGCCGATTAAGGAAAGGAAGCTGAGAGACGCTGACTTTATTCGAACCACATGGCTCCAGTTTGCGGTGATGTTCTCTCTGCAGCTAGAAGCGACCCTGCGCCTGCCGCGTTTGGATCAGAGTCCACTGGACCTGAGGGAGGCGTGGGCAAAGAGTAGATTTGCCCGTAGAGGAGACCTGCTTAGAAGACCATCGCGGGGCTGGCGGGTGCGCGGGATGCAAAGACCCTCCAGGGGATGGGTCAGCAGACGGGAGAGGGACAGGGAAGTTCCATACGCTTGATATGGGGTTCACTACTAGGTATGGAGGGCAATGCTGGGCGGAGAGTGCCCATCGTCCGCAGACAACAGCGCCCATGTTAGCGACCAACTGGGCGCTGTTGCGGAGCCTCGGGGTCCTCTTCCGCGGAGTGTGTCAGGCCCACCGGGCGCGGGCAGATTCGTTGGCCGCGTATTTGAGCCTCTTCCCCTTCCATTCTAGGCTGTCGCGGGCCCCGCCGAGCGAGACCACCTGTGAGGGCTGCTGAGATTGGCGGAGGCGGTCATGTGGGCGGTCACGTGCTGCGGCGAGCTCCTTCCAAAAGAAAATGGGGTTTGGTGTAAATCTGGGGGTGTAATGTTATCATATATCACGCTACCTCGTAAAACCGACACTGAAAGCTGCCGGACAACAAATCACAGGTCAAAATTATGAGTTCTTCGTATTATGTGAACGCGCTTTTTAGCAAATATACGGCGGGGGCTTCTCTGTTCCAAAATGCCGAGCCGACTTCTTGCTCCTTTGCGCCCAACTCGCAGAGAAGCGGCTACGGGGCGGGCGCCGGCGCCTTCGCCTCGACAGTGCCGGGTTTGTACAATGTCAACAGCCCCCTCTATCAGAGTCCCTTCGCGTCGGGCTACGGCCTGGGCGCCGACGCCTACGGCAACCTGTCCTGCGCCTCCTACGACCAAAACATCCCCGGGCTCTGCAGTGACCTCGCCAAAGGCGCCTGCGACAAGGCGGACGAGGGCGCGCTGCACGGCCCGGCCGAGGCCAATTTCCGCATCTACCCCTGGATGCGGTCTTCAGGTAGGCGCCGCGGCTAGGCGGGTCGGGCGGCCGGGCGGAGCGGGAGCCGCGGGCGCCGAGAGCGGCGATCGGAGCGCGGGGCTCGGGAGAGCGGAGCCAGGCGGCTGCGAGCTGGCGGCCCCCGTGACTCCCTGCCGCGCTGCCTTTCTGGTTTTAATTAGAGCTGAGGCGCCATTGCGTGGAGAGCCCATAGCATTGTATGTAAATGAGGCTCATAAAACTTTTTATGGCCCAATTAATGGGTTCGATCCTCGTAAATTTATTTAACTCCATTTGCCTTGGAATTTTAACATTAAGTTTATTCGCCTCTCTCTCTCTCCCTCCCTCTCTCACTCCTCTCCCTCCCTCTCCTCTCTGCTCTTCTTCCCTTTCTCCTTTCCTTCTTTTCCTTTCTGCCTGGCTCTTCTTTCTCAAAAGCTGGGAGAGCCCCTCCGGGGCCCCTCACCCACCACCCATCCCTTTGCCAGGGGTCATTTCAAGACAGGCTGGGACAGAACGGGACAGAGGGTGGGAGTGCCCTAGGAAGGCCCTGAGGATGGGGGCTACTGGGGAGGGTCGTCCACTTGTCTAGCAAGGCTGGGAGCGGCTGGGCTCACAAACGTGCAGCATCTCCCACTTGCCCACACTCTATATTTACAATTTCCCTTTGTCAGGGAGAAGCAGGACATTGTGGAAACGTAGCCGGCTGGAAAGGTCGGTTGTAAAGTTGGGATTCTGCAGCAAAGCTCCTAACAGAGCTGCCTACCCGTCTGACCCCGCAGTTGGGGTCTTCCGCCTGCACTTCCTCCTCGCCTCCAGCTCACTTGGGGTGCGGGTGGGGACACGAGCCTGGGTCCGGGCAGGGAAGAAGGTACAGGCTCTGGGAGAGCAGGCCTGACTAATGCACTCTTCTGTTCCTGTCCCTGACTGCTTGTCTGGCTGCGTGTCCGTGTGTCTCTGCTCTCAGGACCCGACAGGAAGCGGGGCCGCCAGACCTACACTCGCTACCAGACGCTGGAGCTGGAGAAGGAGTTCCACTTCAACCGCTACCTGACGCGGCGCCGCCGCATCGAGATCGCCCACGCGCTCTGCCTCACCGAGCGCCAGATCAAGATCTGGTTCCAGAACCGCCGCATGAAGTGGAAGAAAGAGCATAAGGACGAGGGTCCAGCCCCCACTGCTGCCCCCGAGGGGGCCGTGCCCTCAGCCGCCGCCGCTGCTACTGCTGACAAGGCAGACGAGGAGGACGAGGAGGAAGAGGAGGACGAGGAAGAGGAATAAGGAGCCAAGCCCGGGGCCCTGGCTGCATCGCACAGTCGGGGAGGAAAAGCGTCTTTAAGAGACTAGCTGGTTTTATTTACAAAAATGGGGGGAAATAAAAAGAAAATGTTAAAAAAAAAAAACAAAAAACAACCCAATCCCCAACCCGCACTCCACCCATCCCATCACCCTCTCTAGCTCCCAACTTTTCTGGACTGAGCGGGCAGAGACTAGGTCGCCTTGGGGATCCCCTCTGCCTCTGAGGATCCCAATAGATACCCCCAACCCCAGTCCAGCATTCTTCGCTGGCACAGCCAAAATACTACCTAGCACAGGCCTCCTTGAGAGGCACCCCCAAACTACCTATGGGCCCAGCCCCAGTGGGTCTCCACTCCCAGGAAGCCCCCGTCTGTCCCAACACTGGCAGATACCCACCCCCACCCCCATACCCGCAAGAACCTGACTCTCTCAGTACTACCTACTAGCCCCAAACTACCTATTTTGTGCTGGCTGGCTTGCCTGTGCTGGCCCTTCCCAGGCCAGGCCCCAATGCTTCCAGCCAACCGCCTTGGGGTCCCTGAGGCTTCACTGACAAGACACTGGAGTCCAGGGACCAGGGCATTGGCTTCTATTTAAATTGAAAAAAATAATATATTTATTCCAAAGCATACTGAGTGCTGCAACCTAGAATCCTTCCTTCACTGGCTTGGGCACCCCAAGTTCAGGTCATCACTCCCACTTCTGAGGGGAGCATTCCTGAGCTGGCTGCAGACCTCTGGGTTAGCTTCTGCTTTGTAGGACTTCGGAAATGCTCCCAGCCTCATTGTCCTCTCCCCTGCCCCTGTGTCCTACTGTTCAGCCATGTCAGATGTGTACACCCTGACTTTTCCTACAATGGCAAATACTGTATATTTTTTTCCCTCATTTCTATAGTCTTGGAACTCATTTGTAAAGGAATGTCTTGACTTGGGAAGGATGTGTTAATGGGGTGACTTTGTAGCATGGTGTGTTGTCTTGAGCTAATTCTGTAGTGGGTGGGGAGGTCCAGTGCCCTTCCAGATGCCCTTCATCCCCTGTGTTGTCCTGTGTTCCCCTTAGCTCCAGCCTGGGGTTCAGGGAAGGCATGCTTCCCAGCCCAGTTAACCGTGTTTTATGTAACAAAAATAAAGATGCTTGATGACAAAGAAATGAGGACTGCTTAATCCAGAGTTACCTGGGGAAGGAGAGGTGGCCATGGCTGAAAGAAAAGTAAGGGCTGTCTGTGTGCTCATAGGGGTGGTGGGGAAAGCAAAAGAGACTGTCCTTGGGTCCAAGGATTGGGTGTCTGTGTATTGTTGTGTATATTTGGGTCATGTCTCTTTTTACATATTTTATATGTGGGTTCTTATGGATATGTGGTGTTTATTTTTGTATGTATGTTTCTATATGTGTGTGCTTATTTTTGCTTAATTTCATAACTTGTATTTCCACACTCATAATTGTGTGTCTTGTGTTGATAATTGTGTGTACTTATTTCTATGTCCGGAATTGGGTGCATGCATTTCTGTGTGTCCCTAATTGCACGTTTTTGTGTGTCCATAATTGCATATGTGCTTTTCTCTTTGTACAGTTTTGTCTGGTTATTGTGTGTGCACCAACATATAGATTCCTTGAAAACGGAATCTTTGGTAGATACATGATATTCTATGAATCCCCCTAAAAACCTCCATAAATTCCATGCGGGAATTCCAAGTCCACCCCTGTCCTCTACCACCCTAGAGTGGGCTCTGAAAGGGATATTACCTATCCTGCGACTGATTCCGGATTCCGCATGCGCCCTGAATCTAGCCCCAGGCTAGGAAATGGGATTCAGGGTCCCTGCCGCAGCACCCCCACTCCGCCTTCAGGAGAGGCGAGGGCTTCCCAGGACCCAGAACTATAGCAGAGGGATTGGGGCGGGGCAGGGGCCGCAGACCTAGCTGCCCAGCCTGGACAGGGCATTTAGGTGCGGGGGGCAGGGGAAGACGAGGGACTGGGGAAGGGGCGAGGGGCGGTGGGGGCACGGCAGAGCATCCTGTGTTTGGCCAGCAAACAGCCCACTCCTATCTCCTGCCTGGGTTGGGCCAGCTTCTTAGGGCTTTTTTTTTTTTTTTTTTTTTAAATAAAACCGGACCAAAAAGGTCCGTAAAACCTGCGCCCCAAGTCGGGGCCTCGGTGGTAAGATGGCGCCGGTTAAGAGCTGCCTCCTCTTAGTGATGGGGAAAGGGTCATAAATCCGTTGTTGTTTATGAAAATTTACAACTTTGCAATACAACTTTATGAGTTGTTCGGCCCTTCCATTGGCCGCTGTCGGTCATGTGGATGGGAACCGTGAACATGAACTTTTTTATAATTTCCCTTGCGAGAATAGAGCCGCATTCTTTTGCTCCGCTCCGTCCTGTATGCTTCGGAGCTCTGCCTTCCAACCCGGCTGGGCTGTGCTTTGTCCGGCGATGGCGATGGCGAGCGAGGGGAAGCCCTGGCCAGGCCCGGCCCGGCCGCTCCGGCCGGTGGTGGGAGCGTCCAGTTCCCGGTGCCGGGCGCCGCGGCCGCCGCTTTGCAACTTGCAACCTGGCTAATTTCCTGCGTCCTCTGGCACCAAGAAGGACAATTCGTCTCCCCAGGCTGCCCAAGCGACAGCTGTCAGAGGAGCAAGAGCTTCTGGAAGCCGCCATCTGAAGGTGAGACTTGGGGAAGACACAAGAGGAAAGGTGATGAGTTGACACCGCGGTGGGAGAGGGCACCCAAGGCGACTTCAAAGAGGGGTATACTCACCTTCATCCAGACCCCCGTTCACACTCACCTCCATTACACACCAACAGCACACACACACACACCACCACATACACCTTTCCCTTTACCCCTCCCTGTCTCACCCTGGCATTAAGTGTCTGCCTTCCCTCTGTGGCACAGCGCTCTGGCATCTGGCAGCACACTTGGGGTCTTCTATCTTCCTTGCCCAGCAACTAAGGGAAGCCCCAAAGGAAGTCACTCCGCACTCTGCGTTCCCTATCAGCTTGTTGGGTTTGGATTTTTTTGTTTGTTTTTTCATTCATGGCCCAATTGGTCTGACTGAATCCCCCAGCAACCAGAGACAGCTCCGGAGCTGGGAGCTGGGCAAGTGGGAAGAGGTGAGGGCAAAAGGGAGTTAACCCACGGGCGTTTCATTAGCGTTAGCACTGCACCTTCTATTCCGTGGGAATCGGTTTGCAGAGAAAGGTGGAAGGAGGAAAACCAAACAAAAAAAAAACTTACTAATTCAGCCAGAGTTCTCCGCTGATTGTTCCCCTTCACCCGGTTTTCCGACAGGACAGGCGTCGACTCGCTGGGAGAGGGAATTGTTGCATGGGCGGATTCTGTGTTGGAGGAGAGGATGGGGTTAATTGAGTGTTTTGGTGCAGAGGACTGTTCTGGTTTAGTTCGGATGGCAGGGCCGCAGCTAAGGTTAAAGGAAGAATGAAAACTGAGTGTGGGCAATAGGGGGGCCTCCCTCCCACACCAAGCCATCTCGAGGCGGCAGGCTGGCGTCCACCCTGCCCATCTCCCGCCAGCGAGCGGGGAGAGGGATGTGGAGCTAACCAGGAGGAAGCACTGAGGCTCTGCTGGCCTGATGGTGGCTTTGCGTAACGCGGTGGCACGAATGTTGGCTTGGCCTGAGTGCGCATCCGACCTGATTTGTCCGTGGGAGCTCCCGGAACAGCGACAAAAAATGGCCCTGAGGTTCTGGGCACCAGCTCTTTCTGTTTGTAAGGGTTTCGGCTGTTGTTTCCTCATATTGGGACAATACCTTGGTATGCATCAGATAATTAGCAAGGACATGTAGATGTTTGGGACGCTCCCGGCGCTGTGGGTGTACTCGGGGCAGATAAAGCGGCACATTTGCCTCCTAGGGACGCTGGCTGCCGACTGCGGCTGCCGCGGGCAGATTATTTATTGAGTCCAAGCTAAGTGCTCGCTGCTGCCACGCAGTGGCCGTCGCTGGGACCGGCGCCAGCTGCAGCCCGCCTCTTACAGCCTGGCGCGACTGCTGTACGGGCCCTCACAGATTCCCCAGAAGACAGGGGAGAGGGGGACAAGAGGGGACCTGAGGGGCAGTCTCCCACTGTCTATTTGGCTGGGAAATCTCCCCGCCTCCGCCACCCGTGACAGAAGCCGGTCGGCAGAATAGACTCGGGTCCTCTCGTCACCCCCACCCTAGCACCATGGAGGCTGGTTGCACAGGCCGCCTGGCACGTCATGGCTGCTTCTGTCCAAACTGAGCGTCCCAAGGCGCCCTGGGGGCGCGCGCTGTTTGGGAAGAGCGCTGGTTTGGGGATTTTGACATCGGAGAGATCACTTTTAGTCCTGAGGCCTGGTGGCTTGGCTGCCCCTGAAGAGGACTGGCTATGGCAAGGAAAGGCCGGCTTTGGCTCCAGGCAAGGGCCTCTGACGGGCAGAGGCCTCACCTATGTGCTTTGGGTTCTGACCTGGGCTACAGATTTGGCGGGACCGAGGTGGGCCTTCCAGGTCCCCTCACCCGCGGGCAGGCCACCCTCCAGGTTGGCTGAAGTGGAGGAGCTCAATGGGCAGCCCAAGGCAAGGGCGGACTATGGGACTCTGTGACCCTACTCGCCGTCCTACCTCCCTTGGAGAGAAGCTGAAAGCTAAGGTAAGTCCATTTTTTGTGTGGTTTTGACCAAGAACGCCTTAGATGGACATTCTCACTGTCCTGGGAGATGCAGTTTGGAGGGCGTGGGGTTCCTATTCTCGCCTGAATGGGTCAGGCAATCGTCTCTCTCTCTCTCTCTCTCTCTCTCTCTCTCTCTCTCTCTCTCTCTATATATATATATATATATAATACTGGTTGGAGAAATAAACTGGTTGTCTGCCTACATAAATCTGCACTAACCTTGGCTAGTACATAAAGATTTCAATTTAATCTATTTTTCCCATTTTAGTGCTTACAGAAGGTAGATATGTTTTCTGGCTCTTACGTGAAAAATCAAATTCTCTCATTGGCTGAGACAATTATTACATCTAGAATCCAGGTCAAAGCATAACAATAATAGTAGTAAAATGTCACCAGCTCCAACACGGTGTGGGATACGGAGAGATGAAAGAGAAATTATAAATGTAAACATTTATTAACATCTTCAAAATGGCTATTTCCATTTCAAATAAGAACTTGCTTGAAAT